TACCTGTATTTGTATCTGAGACTAGAAAAACATCTTTTAGAGCTTTGTGGCTTATTCAATAAACCATGTAACTTGCAAGTACATGACTGAGAAGTTTGTAACGTGTGTATATGCATGCACATGTGTGGGCCTGTGTGTGTGTGTATGTATGTATTTGTGTACAGTCACTTCTGACACCAGGATTGTTAACTGCTATTGAGCATGAATATAGCAAATCTAGTAGTGGAAAGCTTGCTTAGGAAGAGAGAAACTGCTACTGATATAAAGCTTTGTGGTCTAAGACTTCCTAGGAATCTTCTACCCTTGCTCTATTCAGCTTGTGTGTGCACCCCTCCTGTACAAATGGTTTTCTAAGGTCCCGGGAGGTTGGGACCCTGGGATCAGGATGAGGGTCCTTGATTCTGGAGTCCCTATGTGTTGGAACCTTTAACAACCATGTGTGCAGCTAACTCTTAAAGTATTTTGCTGTTTGCCTTTTCCTGTTGGGAGATGACTATAATTATAACAGACGGCCAGTAGGAGAAGCTTTTCTATGTCGCTGGTTATGACTTTCTCAGCACAGAGTTGTACCTGAAACCTCATGTTGCTTAATGTGGGGGAAGGAAAAAAGAACCTGAAAAAGCTCAGGAAAGAGAAGCAGGACATGGAGGTGCCTGTATGTGTGGATCCTGGCTCCTGGGCTGGGGTGGGGAGGGGAAAAAGGAAAAGGGCATGAAGGACTCATTCCCCTGATGGCTGGAGGGGCACAGGGGTGGTGGGAGCAGCGGGATTTCAGCATCGGTAAGCAAGGGAGCTCCAGCAGATGCCGCTGGTGCTGGCTCAGCAGCGGGGGGGGGGTCACCAAACAAGGGTCAGTGACCACCGGCAGCATTGTCAGCAGTCAGCGGGAGTCGTGGACTGCCCCCAGATGATGTCGGCGATGACCACTCGCAGGTGCCACCAGCTGTGTGGGCGGCCCCTTTTGGTAGGGGGTGCACCACCACACTCAGGTGGTGCATGTGCATCCCCTACGCGTCGTCCCTGGAAAAGGGGCAAAGAGCCTCATTTCTGTCCTTGCAAACAGTAAACATCCTGATTCAATAAAAAGATAGGCCACTATCTACCCAAGAGTATTATTGACTTCAGAGAGCATTTGACCACGGTTAAATAACAGGAAATTGATTGGTATTATTTGACTGATCAACTGACTGGCATGCCCAATTCGAAAGTCACACTTTGAAAGTAGCACTCTACCATACCCAGGTTATTCTGTCCTGCTCTGGACATGAAAGAAGCATTAGCAAACAGGTTAGCTCATCTTTTAATTGGGGAAAATTCACATATTACATGCAGCAGGAGGAAGGAGAAAAATGAAAAGTTTGCAGGTAAATAGAAGTCTGAATTTAGATTTCTAGTTCTTAGATTTTAAGGACAAATAGGGAAATAGTTGTGCATTAGGAAAATGTGATTATTAATTGTCTATAGAAAGGAGAAGTATAATTTAGATCGGGGGTGTTTTAAAGATGGATTCAGCTTACAAAGCCCCATCATCCAGCTCTTGGTGTTTCCAGGTGGTCTGAAGTTGACTCGCATGCCGCACATGGTATGCCTTGGACTGGCCCTGCTCGCAGAGTCTGGGAACGATGCTACATGTGGTACCTGCTCCAGCTGATCCAGAATGCACGGCACCCACCCACTGCATATGGAATTCATTATGGAATTGTTGCTCCCAGTTATCAAAAGCAGAGGAGCTATGTTTTCTTCCTTTGTGCTATTTCTGTGTATGGTGATTAAATGAAGCCTGAGCTATGTCCTAAAAATTTCCACCACAGATATATGGGAGAATTATAGATTCTTATTTTCCTAGTACAGAATAAGAATTTTGTCCCAAAGGGGGTGAAAAAACAGAGAGCTTCCTGGGATAAATGTAGCAGATTCCTGCTTACTATAACTTCTGGTGTACGATATTAACCTACTACCCCTTCCCCCCAAAAGGATAAAATTATGCCTTCAGCATACACATATGTACATGTACTCCTTACCCCTTTTTCCTGGTGGCCCCTAAAGGGCAATACCCTGGCTTTGATGATGAGGAAAGGACGTGGGGGCCTGCTACTATTTTCCTTCATGCCCCCCACCTCCTGTTTGTACAAGAAAGGATGGTAGTGGGCCTCTCTGGCTTCTGTTGCAATTAACAATGGGGTGCTTAGTGCTTAGGAAGACTGACGAGACATTTCCGTCGATAATAAGCAAAAAGGCTTTATTAACTAAACAACGAGCTATATAGGAAAATGACAGGTAGGCTATTGCAATCTACAAGCAAAACAAGCTATAATCAAGTTCAGTATATTTCTAGCCGTAATAGTGGTTTTCTCACCAGCACGGGCAAGGAAGCGGCTCTGATCTTTGCAGCCTCTCACCAGGTGTGGATCTGTCACCCAGGGTGGTCAGCTGGGCACAGGTTATGATGGGTCAGTGTGGTGTTTCCCTTCTGAGATGAGCACCCCTTGCTGCCAGCTCCATCCTTCTCTTATACTCATTCTTCAAAGCATATTTTTCTTGATGGGTTGAAGATCAGGGTCCAGACAAAGCTGACAATGTGGAGGTCATTGTCTTTCGGTTGTGGAGTAAATGTTATCCTTTTGGATCCATCTGTGGTTGTTGTAGGTGAAACTGACATGCACAAAATCCCTTGATCACTCTGGAGGTTTGTCATTTGCTTCACTATAGTGTGACTTGATTGCTCGAGCCCAATACCCTAAACCAGAGGTATACTACTTGTTTTAATTGCAGTAGGACTTGATTACTTGACTTGAGCACCTTAGGCCTTGAATCGTAAGGGACTGTATAGGCTGTTGTGATAACAGGGTGGAACCCAAAATATTTTCTGGTACAGACACCTAGATTGGTGAGGGATCTGATGACAAGGAAGAGGCAATCACATTGAAAAGGGAACTTTATTCATAATCAATTTAGAGTAGTTGGGCATGGGATGTACTTGATACCAAAGTCAGAGATGAGATTAACTGAATTTTGTTTCAGGTGGTCTCAGTCATGAGTTTACATTCTTGTGCAAAAGGGCACTGATATTATAATTTAGTCATTTGAATACTGCACATAGGCCCAGACCGGAGTGCAGCAGCTTTTCTCACCACTGTCCACAGCAACAATATGGCAAATGCCATAGATCCCATAGCCATCCAAAATGAGGCAGGTAGGTGCTGTAACGCAAGTCCCTTCCTGCTTTTTCCTACCTGGACCTACAGACTTTTGCCAGTTTGCATGCTTGTACTGGTCTGCAGTTTCAATTACCTGGTATTTTTCCTTCTGTAACTCAAGTGTGAGAGGGATTAAAGTGTAGACACGCCTTACTTTAAGAGTTCCTTCTTTAGTGGAAAAATAGTCTTATATACCAGGGCAATGTTCCCTCTAAGGAGTAGTGGTCCATAAGTGCACCGCTTCAGTGCAGCGTGGGACACTTACCAAAGGTAAGCTCCTCGCCCGGGGCAGGCAGCGGGGGCTGGGCCTGGTGCGGGCTCCGCCAGCTCCGGAACACTGCTCCGCTCCCCCGCTTCGCCTCGGGGAGCGAGGAGGCACGTGGTGTTAGGGCTGGGGAGTGGAGCACTTCCCTGGAGCCCGCGAAGCAGTTCCCCAGAGCCGGCAGGGCCTCACTTGGGACAGGCTCCTCCTTGAGGTGAGGTGAGGCTGGGGGCTGGCGCATTCTCTGCCAGCTCCAGAGAATTGCACTGTGGGCTACGCCAGCTCTGGGGAACTGCTGTACTTCCTGGCCCTCATGTCATGTGCCTCCTCCCTCCCCGAGGTGAAGTGGGGGAGCGGAGCAGTTCCCTGGAGCCAGTGGAACCCATGCCAGGCTCCCGCCTCTGCCTCACCTCAGGGAGGAGCTTACCTTCTGTAAGTGTCCCACGCCACAGCCCAGCTCCTATCCCGGTGGGTGCACGGCCTAAAAAAGTTTGTGTGCGGCCAGACTTTTTTGTGTGCAGCCGTACATACACGCACCTTAGAGGGAACCTTGTACCAGGGCTGTCCAACTGGTGGCCTGCAAGGGGCTGGCATGGTGCCCACAGGCTCCAGTGGCCATCTGTTCTACTGCTGTGTGACAGGGATCTGCACAGCACCAGCACTGCTTGGGGTGGGGCTTGTGTGCTGCCTGGGGTGGGTGGGGACAAGGTTTATGCACTGCCAGTGTTATTCCTGGGTGGGGGAGGAGGCTGTGTCCAGTGTGCTGTCGCCCAGGGTCAGCCCTGTAATACCCTGTAAAATCTACTATTTCTAACCTTTAATAAGAACACAAAGAGTACAGGTCATCACTTTGTCTGGTTTTAAAATGATGAAGCTGAAACTTAGGCCTTCAGAATTAAGAGGAGAGGGATTTTGCTAGGCACGTTTGTGGTTGTTCTGGCCTATTCTGATACTTCATTTTGGGACTGAGAAATCAAGGTATATTCTTGCTCCTGCAAAAGATTGCCATTGTCCTGCCCTCATTTAAATATGCTAGAGTTGAAGGCAAGATGCAGCTGACGGGAGAAAATTTGATCTGAAATTTCTTTTTAGGGAGCGCTCACAAACTTACTCCTAGATACGTTTCGGACTTCATACAAGTAAAGTTTGTGTTGTTGGATGGGTTTTATTTTTGATTACTTCACTGTTCTTATCCATGTTGTAGGTAAGAACAACTTTCAAACAAACTAGCCATGAAGGATACTAGGAAAAGTCTGAGGGTATGTGCCAAAAAAAGGCAAGTTTTTTTGGTGAGAGCCAGCTTTACAGATGCTATACAGAACAAGCTTGGTGTCCAGACTTTTGTTCAGTTAATACCAATAGATTTAATGCCCTTAGAACTTGGGCATTGAGGCATATCTTGCAACAAAAATACTGCAACTCAATTTGTTCTGTTTCATTTCCCTGGTATGTTCGGCATGTAGGGAATAAAGGGAGGAGAAAGGACCAACTACCCAGGATGCCATGTTAAGAGGAGGGGGTATATTTGGTTGTCGTCAGCACTATATTTCCATATGAGTGCTTAAAATGTTTGGCTTGTGAGGATGGCTGCTCTAAAAATAGCTTTGGAGAAGACAGTCGGGTCCAATTTCTGGTTCTAGCTGAGTTAGCTTTACAAAACTTTTTTGCCACTGTTGCAAGGCTAGAGTGAGGATAAATCAATCCTAAAACCAGCTTGGACATTCATTTTGGACTCGGATACTTATTTTGTCCATGGATAAAAGATACTAATGTCATGGCTGAAGATACAGGTATAATGAATTCTATTCTTTGAGAGAAGCTAAGAAAGCATACTTGTGTTTTGGCTATGTTTGTTTTTATGCTTTAAAATAATTTGTTTACTGGGGCATGTTTGTGCTTTGGATACAGTTTCTTGTCTTGATTTTACTCGCAAGCTGCTTTTATTCTTGCTGTTTAAATGAGACCTGGGCAGAGAAAATTTTCAGCATTTTTCAGGGCAGAATACACGAGGCGTTAGCTTTGCTTTTGTTTAACTCAGCAGTTAAATGGGAGGTATTTTTATTTTGTATGTAAGTGTTTGACTTTAAACATGTCTTTTTAAAAGAAAAAAATATCAAATTATAGAATATAAAAAACAGAAGTGAATGAACAGACTTGTTCACATACAGTGTCCTTTATTCTTAGAAATAAGACATGTATATAGTATTTAAAAATGACTATTGAAAAGGTTTAATGCATTTCAAGATATTTTGTATATTTGCAAAAAGGCATATGATGGGTTAAGCAAAGGCTTACCAGATATGGAAACTGACCTCCTTTTTCCATAGCTGGCATAATGTACAGAGAAAAGACTTGAAATACGAATTAATTCTCTGGAAAGGGTTCAAACCCAAAGTCAATATTTCTTATTATTTTACTAGTTTTTAACTTTGACTCTGTCTGTTCATGTGCATTTAATGTACACCTGTTTCACCTCTTGTAAACTATGGATGAATATATCAGTAAAGACTGGCTTTAAAAAATACTTATATACAGGAGCTAATTTATTTAAATTATTAGCAAAACTTTTCTGAGGAGAGAGTGCTTAGGAATCTGAGCTTAAAAATGTATGATGTTTGTACTATGATCGGATTCTGAGAGACTAATATAATATTGTCCTGAAGTGAAAGTGTGGTAATTACTATTCAATTGCTTTAAAAAACAGGGACAGCAACAATTCTATTTGTACATACAGTTTTGTTGCTTTGCAGTATGCTGTCTTTTCTCCAGAGGCAATTAAATGATGTGAGGTAGGAAAAATATGGAACTATAAAATAGAAACGAGAGCATAAAATAGATTTTTACTCAATGCGGAATCTTACTTTGATATGATCTTTTATAGAGTGCTCTAAAACCCTATTTAACCTTCTCTTATTAAACATAGCGTGATTGTATAAATCCAGTAGTTGAATCCTGAACAAAATGCAGGTGCAATATTGTATAGTGGTTTAGTGTATAATATGGCAGGGCTGTCTAAGTGCCAGGAAGCTGGGGTCCTCATACGCATGGGCCTCAGGCCTGGGGACTGCAAGCTGCACAGGCTGCATGCCACGTGGTCAGATGGGTGGGCAGCCTGGCTGCTCCCCTCCCAGCCTTGCATGTCACGTGGGCAGACCCCTCCACCCTCCTTGCAGCACAGTCATCTCAGCTCCTCGCCCTGCTCCCCACTCCCCCTCTTCCCCGCCCCCCCAATTGCATGTGCCACTCACTGCATTGCTCCCTCTCCTGCTATGACTGCACAACGTGAACAGCCTAGCCCCTTCTCTGGCGCACACGCATCATGGGATTGTAACCCTCTCCTGCTATGCTCCCATGCCCACAGGATTAGAGGCAGGAGGTAGAAGCCAGAGGAAGGAGGAGGAACCCAAACAACCTGGCTGCTGCAGCAGGAGCAACTGGAGTGGAGTGGAGGCTGGGCAGAAGCCTATGGGCCCCATCATAACCCTTCAGGATCATATGCGGCTATTACAGGAACAGCCCTGTAATGTGCCATAACTTTCATTCTCTTTATATAAATTTATATTAAATTTAATCTTATAATTTCCAAACTTAAATTCCAAAAGGGTATTTGTTTTTACCAGCCCTTTTTTTTTTTTTTTATCTCTGATCAATAATGTGCTACATATATTGTCATACAGTACCTTTACTTACAATTTTCCTATCTTTTATTACTTTCTTAGTCATCTCGTTGCAGTTTTACACCCACATGATTAGTCAACTGTATTGTGTTCAGGCATCAGGATATGAAGTGCTCTCTCTAAAGCTTATTGGAAGAGAGCTGTTGTGCTAAACTTTTGAAGGAATTGTTCTAGTCCTTGGTTCTTGATCTATGCTGTGATGACTAATATTAAATAGAAAACATTTTCCCTGTATATTGCATCAGAACAGTTAAGCTGAGCCAGTTGCATTTCTTGACATGTCTGTTCTCTTCATATTAAGCAATGAATGCAGCAAAAAGTTAGCTAGTTGTGATCCTGATGACAAGCAGTCTGACAGCCCTCCTGTACAGTTTCTCTCATACACAAGACAAGTTAGGCTGCCTTGATTCATATGCTATTGCTGGGTTTGGGCCTGGTCTTGTTTTTTCAAAAAACATTTACTCTTCTGGTGATCATTTAGCATTGATGTCTATTTGTCTTTTGTCATTGTGGGTGCTATTAAATAAGGAAGCATATATTGATTTAATTTGATTTTTGTGTATAATAGAATGTGAAGTAAACATTATTACATTGTCTCATCACAATATATTAGTGATGTTTAAATCCTCATGCATTTGAAAATGTATAAAGGATTTTTGACTTTCAGTTCAGTGAAGACAGGGAGCAGCAATCTTGGGGATAGCTCTATCGGGCCTTCAGTCAGAGCAGATGTAGTTAGGGATCTTCTGGAAGGGCTAGACATTTTAAAATCTTCAGGTCCAGATGCCCTCCACCCAAGGGTGTTGAGGGAGCTGGCAGAGGTCATCGCGGAACCCTTGCCCTGGCTGTATGAGCATTCGTGGTCATCTGGCCAGGTGCCGGGGGATTGGAAACTGGCTAATGTGGTCCCTATTTTCAAGAAGGGGAGGAAGGACGACCCAAGTAACTATTGGCCTATAAGCCTCACCTCAGTGCTCGGGAAGATCTTGGAGAGAATCATCAAGGAGCACATCTGTGGGGGGCCAGCATGGGAGATCATGCTCAGGGGCAATCAGCATGGGTTCATCAAAGGCAGGTCCTGCCTGACCAACCTTTTATGACCATGTAACTAAATCCTTGGATGATGGTGTTGCCATGGATGTAGTCTTTCTAGACTTTAAGAAGGCCTTTGACACTGTCTCTTACCCCATCATCAATATTGACTCCATCATCTTGGAGTCATTATTGACTCCAAGATGAACATGAACCGCCAATGCCAGACCGCAGCCAGCAAGGCCAGCCATACCTTGTCATTCATCTAAAGGTGCATCTCAAGCCAGTCCAGAGAGGTGATACTCCCCCTCTATGCGACTTTGGTCAGGCCGCAGTTGGAGTACTGCGTCCAGTACTGGGTGCCGCACTTCAAAAGGGATGTGGCCAGCCTGGAGAGGGTTCACAGGAGGACCACCTGCTTGTTGAGAGGGCAACAGGACAGGCCCTAGAAGGAGAGACTGAAGGACCTGAACCTGTCCAGCCTCAGCCAAGCTCATCAGGGGAGATCAACAGCAAATTGGTAGAGCCCTTTTCTCCCCAGCACCACCTGGGGTGACGAGGAACAACGGTAATAAGCTGATGGAGAATAGGTTTAGGTTGGAGATCAGAAGGCAATATTTTACAGTTAGGGTGGCCAAAATGTGGAACCAACTTCCCAGGGAAGTGGTCCTTGCCCCTACCTCAGGCAAATTCAAGAGGAGGTTGGACGATCACCTGTCTGGGGTTTTGTGAACCCAGCATTCATTCCTGCCTGTGACAGGGGGTCAGGCTAGATGATCTGTTCAGGTCCCTCCTGACCCTAACTACTATGAAATTATGAAACTATAAGATTTGGCCTGAACTATTTGCTTTGACTCAGCTTCCTGGGACCCTCTAAAACACTGAGCCATTATTCAAAGAAAATTTGTTGAAATAACTTTTCAAAGGTGCTACACTGTTTGACTTAAATATTCTTTTCTGAAAATGTTTGTCTTCCTAGTTGAAAACCTGCTGCTCATCTCTAAATAATTATGTTGACGCTAGCCAATTGCCCATCAAGAATGATGGGGGTGGGGGAAGCAGGTGGGGATGGAGTCCCGTTGCCCCCACATCTGGGCCCGCTCACCCTTCCCTTCTGCTGCTTGGGGGCTGGGCCTGCTCTCCCCCTCCCCGCCACAGTGGTGGGGGAAAGAGAGGAGTGGGCCTGGGCCAAATGCGCGGGAGGACCAGGCCTGAGGGTGGGGAGAAGCCGGGCTGCTGCGGAGGTGGGGAGCAGCAAGCCTGGGGGGACGGGTAGAGTGGGCTCAGGGCAGATGTGGGGGTGGGAGAGGAGGCTCACTCCTCCCCTCCTGCAGCTGCCGTGTTGGGCTGGGCTGGGCTGTGCTGGGCCGGGCCAGGCTGAGCCCACACCCCCGCTGCTGCAGTGGGTTGACTTCTTCCCTGGTTCGGGCTCATTCCCCACCCCCAGGTTGGGCCTACTTGGGTACGGGAGGGGCAGGGCAAGTGCAGGGGAGAGGGGTGGG